GTTTAGAAAATTTACTTTATTTTTCACGTGGAAACTCCCCGTGACCATTAATTATCACCATTTTTGAATATTAGACTGATGGAAAGACTGAACAAGGAAAAACAGAAAAACAATGCCTCATAAATACTTCTTGAACTATGCAAGTATAATATACAATGTATATTTTACATGGAGCCAAAAAGCAGTCAGATGGGCCAAAACCAACTTCAAATGTTCGGTTTTTCCTTCACTTATGACTTTGAATCCAGTTAAACTCCCTGGGAATTCAAAGTACTCAAATGTTTGTAAATACAAGATGTCATTAAACATCAACAACCAAACAAATACATTGATCTTAGAAAACACTGGATACATTTGGCCTTATTACACTCAAAAGCATTTATCACTGTCAGGAAACTTCCTCAAATGATACACAGGCTGTTATCCTGCACGTGTCAGTTGTTTGGAGGCTTCTCTGTATGTCCGCTGAACAAACACAGCCAAGACTTTTAAAACTAAACACCTGGTTTTCACTGTGGGTCAGTAAACCACAACATACATAACAAATCATCATCAGCCTTAAGACTCAACCATACACAGTGTCGACGAGCATGAACAGAATTTCACAGACGGATTTTGATGAGTTGATTAATAAGAAATAAGAGAAGGGACTTTAATTACTAATAACCAGTTTATATTGTTGTAAACATGTAAAAACACATTAAAGTGGAAATGAAACACTAAAGGCTAATTTACACTGTGGAGCCGCGCTCCCAAAAACTGTCAGATTTAACGATGTGTGAAGCTGGATTTAAGAAATCAGTGAAGCTGTTGGATGCTGGATTCCCAATCGAGCTTCACTAAGAAATGTTTGTGGTGCACGTGCAGAAAACTGAGAATGGACTTTATTACAGTGAAAGGAACTCTTTTGTTGCATGCCAACCAAACTGGAACCAGTTTGTATGTGTGGTGACCTAAACAGGTTCTGTTCATTTCGTCCTTTAATGAAATGATGAGTTGCACAAACAGGTTTGTAGCTGCTCATTTTACAAAAGTCACTCTTCACAATGAAAACAACAAAAAAAAAAATCAGATTTTGGTAGAAGCAGAAAATCTCCTCACAGCAAACCCAGTTTGACCAGAGAGAATTTATTTGATTCAGTGTGAAGTTCCATCACCATTACTCCATATCTGCTGTCATGCATTAGGTGGACAACACCATTCAAAGTGAGCTGGGAACTAAAAGGCAGCACGAAGACTTTTGGCCAAGTCTTCCTCCCTGAAATAAAAACAGTAACTAGTTTTAAACTAATTAACACCATAATCTTCATTTATAGATGGGATTTCTATTTCTAATGTGTTGTTCACTTTAACCCTAAACCCAAAGACATCAGTGTTTTTTGACCTGATGATACTGTACATATTAATGCACATATTAATGGGCTCTTACATGTACCCACTACAGGGGAACACTGGACATCCTGTTTCCTTAGCACCAGCACCTGTCAACTCTTCATGAAGAACATCTAAAAGTAGATTATGGGTAATTACATAAAAAAGAAGTCCAGTACATAGATGCATCCTGGATATGTTCACTAGGCTGTGTGTTCCCCACCGATATACGACAGATGAGGAAGAATCATGAGACGAGGGCAGATAAATAAACAGATCCCACAGATTCTGTTTGGCACAATCGAGCCAAGGGAGCAAACATCTAAGCTGATCTGAGGAATGTTGGCTGCTTATCTGCTAATCCATGTCTATTACAGATAAACCGCAGTAAAGGAAAGAGAAACTCCACTCTCATTATTCACGTCATTCATGGATATAATGTGGTAGCAGAAGGCCTGACGGAGCCAGTCAAAAATGCAGCGCAGCAGCCGATCGAGATTTCGAGGATCGATTTAAACGGCCCGACTGGCTCATCAGCCAGCTGATAACCTGCACCTGGCTTCAGGTTGGTGCAAAGACAGTCACTGTGAGCAGAGGTCTGATGCAGCAGAGACATCCCTCAGTCCTGATGGCTCTTGTCCTGAATGAATTTGTATTCATACTGGAAACAAGGGGAGAAGGAGAGCTGTCAGACACAAAACACCACTTAAACATCTACTTTAATATACCAATATGGACATGAGTATCATTGTAACTCAGCTGGGTGACTTCTTTAATCAGTGCTGTGAAAAAGCATTTGCAACCTTTTATTTTTTTAGTACATTTAGTACTTTATCGTGTTTCATCAAACAAATTTAGTAAATACAACGTGCACTTTATAATTTTGAGGAATGAAGCTATTCTTGACCTATGTGAAAAGAAAACTGAAGAGCCTGAGAACTCATCCTGCAGGCCTCAGTTAAGTTCAGTGTTCATGATTCAACACTAAGAAAGAGACGAGACAAAAACAGCATCTGTGATTTCCAACATGAAGAGCACTGCTGACCAAAGAGGCC